TTCACCGAGGTACATCTGCGTTGCAAAGAAGAACGAGCGATATTTGTTGAAGTGATAGAGTCAAGAAAATTGATGTGAAGAAATCGACCCCTCGAAGATTTACTGCTGAAGAAAAGCTTTTGTTTCATTATTGTCATCCGAAGAAATTGACTGCAGCGATGGAAGTTGAAGACAGAGTGAAGATGTAGCATTCATTTCGTTGTTCTTCTTTCGTTCTTTCCAGTCATAGGACTTCCGCACTACTAAGAGGGGTATAGATTCTCGATGCTTAGATCCGCTGTGATGCTTAACCATAACCTATGAAAGATACGAGAGAAGTCTCTTTGTGCTCCGAGCAAATACTTGCCAGCAAGAGACTGTGATCTTCTTCATTGTGAGAGATTTGACTCGGACTGAGGAGTTAGCATTACTTGCTCCTCAAGTAATGTTACAGTTGTGCTCAAATCCGACCGTTAGAATCACGTCGTTCGGCCATTGGCTGAGCCCGATGTCTAATTTGGTCATTTCCCATCCAGGAAGGCTACAACTATAAATAGCCACCAGCTCCAACTTTATCGGTTGGCTGCTCCACTTGAGATTTCTGAGAAGATTGATTTGAGCAACCCCTCTCCGAGTGATTTGAGTTTAAGATCCACCGATAGAAAAACCAAGAGCCCAAACTTAGACAGTGGTTTAGCATCATAGTAGTTCTGAGTGAGAGTTCTTGTACCTATTACTCTTGAGAGCTGCGCACTCTCTAGACAGATAGGTTTCGGCTTTGAGTGTTGAAGAGATGTTGTCTTCACCGAGCCTGATCTTCAGCAACCAAGAGTGATTGTGGTTCGCGAAGGTCGGCCGAAGGTTTGGAGATCGCCAACAAGGGTCTACCACGAGTGAAATCAACCTGAGTCTGATCAGCTCAGCATTGAAGGAGAATAAGGTGAAGAGATTGTATCTTCCGTGTTAAGTCACATCCCCTCCAACCAGACGTGGCCCTTTGCCAGAAGGGTGAACTGGTCTACCAAATCTCTCTATCGCCATTGAGCACCACTGGTTCCATTTACTCTACTGCATTACTTTTAGTAATTCTTATCTGTTCTCTGTGCTGACAGTTTACTCGATCATTTTGCTCATTGTCATCTACTTGTATTTCAGTTTCATTGTCTTCGTCAGTATTCATTCGGATCCATCTTGTCCTTAGCATTTGCCTGTGTAATTTCTTGACGGTATTTGTATTCATGCATGCCATGTTATGTCTCATTCTGCTTCATCTGTTTGCATGTTGTATTACTCTCATCATAGCTAAACCTGTGATATATTATGCTCGTATTGTTTTCAATGCCATCATCGATGAATATGCCTCTGACGAAGAAGATTGATTTGGTCTATTTCCTTCGATACTCCATTCTGCTGCTTTGATTGGGTTTTGTTTCAAAACTTTCAAAAGAAAATTTGTATCTCCCATTCACCCCCCCCCCCTCTGGTCGATATACTCTTAGTCCTAACAGGTTTGTATGAATTTCGTCCGGTTTTGTTGAAATGATGTTTGAAATGTATGCGGATAAAGTTGGATGGACGGCTCCTGCATCCGTATCTGTGGACTGGTTCCCTCGGTCCGTTGACGGATGTCGTGTCTGTTTTGCGGTTTAGCGTTGGAGATGTCCTTGAACTCATTCTATAAACCCACATATTGGTTAGATAATCCAAACAAGATTTAGGTGTCGTAACATAATTGGATTTAAGGGAAGTTAGGTTTTTATAACCACATTATCTAGACAACCACTAAAGGAAGAAGCGGATGGCTTTTGGGTGTCAACAATGGATGTGAGAGTGTGCAAATCAGTTCTTGTGCCCCTTCAGGGAAGAAGAGGATGGCTTATTTATGATCCATTCAAAATCTACCGGTTATGTCTCCCCTGAGATTATCCAGAATACTAGAACCAGAGTTTCGGGCTGTTTCTGGTCTGACCTCCCGGTTAATCATACCGGCAAAGAGTGCCAGCCGAAATGCCATCCGGAGCTTTCGGGCCACTCGAAGTATGATTCGGAGCTTTCACATGAAACCTCAGGGTCAATGCATAGAGCATGTACAATGATGCTATCTTAGAAGTGCCACGTAGGAATAAATGATGAAGTGAAGGAGAGAGAAATCATAAGAAAAATGCTTGTCTTATCTTATTTAAGAGAAGATAAGAGATGATCTCTTAGCACAATATGTCTCACCACGTTTTTAGGAATAGCTACTTATTAAAGATAAGTCTAAGAAATGACCCATTGTAGATATTTTTTTTGTCATTTTAAAATTACATGCAAGATTTAAAATTAGACTATCTTATTAACCATTGTACATGCCCTCTTCTACCTAGGATTTTTTCATCTCGGGAAGGGATGAAGATCAGTTAACGTATTGACTCCCACACTTCACTTCTGCATGAAAACAACTCTTAATTGTCTGGTGTGACTAAACATAGGATAGTACCTCCGTTCACAAATATTAGATGTTTCAGATATTTCAATATAAACTACACACGGTGTGTCTATATGCTTCTGAATTGCAAAAACTTCTTCATTATGAACGGAAAGCAAGCCTTTTGCTTCCTCTCTTCCCAGGGCAATAAAATAGAGTAAATTGCAGAAAACCACCACAATTGGGGACCCTAATTCACAAAACCATCACCTTTCAATTTTTTTTTCAAAAACCCATCGTCATTGTACTGACAGTTTTCAGAAAACGCTAATCGCTCAATTAAAACTATTTAAGTGAAAATCTGACCAGTGGGTCCTGATGACATGTCTACGTGACGGAGGATAGACAGCACAACTGGTCAACCCCGTCCCCGTCCTCCCCCTGACTTTTCCCCACGCGCAGCAGCCAGCAGACGAGGAGCACCTAGCGCTTCCGTGTACATGCACGCCCTGCGGCTCCGGCCAGCCAGGCTGCCGGCCGACGAGCCTCCCAGCACCGCTAGCTCCTGCGCCACGCAGTAGCACGCTCGGCCGCTTGCCATGGCCTCCGGCCACAAGCTGAATATGGATGCAGGACATGCCCAAAAGCTCCTGTTCCTGTACGGGCCTCGGGCCGACGAAGCAGCCGTCGTCGGACTGCAGGAGGCCGCCGGGAACAGACCACGACAGGGGTGAGACGAAGAGGTTCTCAGGGGAATCGAAGGAGCTCCTGGAGCCTGCGCATGGTACTGGACTACAGGACTAGGCCGGGAAGCACGACCTGCTTGAGTTCGTCGGCCATGGCGGTGGTCGTGCTCGGAGCTCTTGGGGGATGGCGCTACGGCGCGAAATAGAGCAGAGAAGATGGGGGAAACTGAGAGCAGCTCACTTCGATGCGGCGGGAGAGCTTAGTGGGTACTGGGAAGGCTTGGAGGCGGCGAATTGACGGCGAGGAGCGGCCCGTGCAAGCAGCGGAGAAAAGCTCGATTCGGTCGTCTCCGGGCGTCCCTGCTCGAATCCATCGGCGAGGGATATCAGCGCGAGGAGGCGGAGCTCATGGACATGGTCTGGCGGCGATTCGTTAGCGGTGGCAACGCGGTAGCAAGGCAGTGCTCTCCGGGGGCGTCCTACCGCACCATGCCGCTCGGCTCGGCCACGACTACTCACCTCGCTGGCTGTGGCAAGCCACCTCCAGCTCGTCCCCGCGCGCTTCCCCTCCTCCTCATGTATCCTGCTTCACGCTCCACTCGCCGCCGGCTACGGACGGAGCCGCGCGCATGACCCGGCTGTGCCACGACCAGCCACCTTGCCGGCTACGGCCATGGCTGCGCCGCCACCTCGCGCCGTGTCCGACGCCATCAGTCGGCGAGGACTCCGCACCGATGCCAGCTTTGCCCGAACCCCTGAATGAGCAGCTCGAGCTCCGTGATGGAGACGACGACTGCGGCGCACGGGAGGTGTTTGTAAGAATGCTTGAAAAAAGAGGGAGGAGCAAGCACATTGATGGGTGGGTCCTACGTCTAACTTAACATGGAGCGAAACTTTCTAACGGTGTGTAACGAGCACCGTCTTTACCCGGGCCACGTGGCACCTGTTGGGACCCACTGGTCAGATTTTCACTCAAACAACTCTAATTGCTTGTTCAGTGTTTTCTGAAAACTGTCAGCACGATGGTGGTGGTTTTTTGAAAAAAAAATGAAAGATGATGGTTTTGTGAATTAGGGTCCCCAATTGTGATGGTTTTTTACAATTTACTCCAATAAAATAGCTAATCTATCCCGTTTTGGCGGTCAAAATAAAGAAGTCTGTTGCGAACAGGAGTGCTCGAGAGTGGAAGAGAGCATGGAATGGAATATCTCTTGGATTTCGCTACGGGACGATATACAAAGGGCTGATGTCCTTGTTAACCACAAGGTCAAAGTTATCGGCACCACTAACTTTGATGCCGGTTATCGTGGCCTTGCAGCGTGCAAAAGCAGAGATATCCTGGCCACTTGATTGCGACCTTCATACACGCCAACACTGCCATCTAATTGGGGTCGACAGCCTGAATTAGAGCAGGATTGAAATGGACTGCACCCGTGTTCAATTCCATATCGTTTTCTCCCTTTCCTTTTACCGGCACTCTGTATGCTCACGGGCGCGCGATGTGCCCAGATATTTCCGTGCCATGGCAATCTTGCTAACCGACGATCTTTGTAGGTGGGAACGGATGGACATGGTCAAGCCGTGGCATCAGAATTTGCGCAGCTCCGGCAGCTACCAGATTCTTCAGTCACGGGACTCTCGGCATAGGAACAAGATTAACCAATAACAGCTCGCATTTCCTTTTCGTGCAATCCAGTGCGGCGCGAGCACATGACGCCCGGCGATATAAGCTGCTTTTCTCAGAGACTTTAGTAAGTCGGCACAAAAATCCGCAGCGAAGAGGGTAAATCCTCCCAGGAATGGGACGGTAGTGCGTGATCGATTGCTCCGGACCACCAGCCCAATGATCAAGCGCTATAAATAGGGCACGGGGCATCCACTGCAAGCACAACACAGGACGAACCAGTGGAGAGCTCAAGGAAGATACCATGGAGTGCGGCCGTAAGCAATGGCAAGCGCAGCTGGCGGGGCTCGCGCTCGCGTTCCTCCTCTTTGCGCCTGCGTTCGTGCAGTGCGCGGGCGCCGAGGCCGACGGCGAGAAGGACGGGCTGGCGTCGCCGGGGAAGACTGTGCCGCCGGTTCCGCCTGGGTGGACCGGCGACTCGGGGTCCGCCCAGGGGTCCAACCCTGACGGTTCCACCTGGAAGTACGAGTGGGGATGGTCTGCTGGGCCTGGTGGAAAGGGCTCCGGTTACGGTTACGGTGGCAGCGGTGATGCAGGCGGCGGGGCCGAAGGTGGTGGCAGTGGGAGAGGCGGTGGCGGAGGAAGCGGAAGAACGTTTGGTCCACGCGATCGGGGATACGGAGGACATCCCGGTGGCTATGGTGGCAACGGTGCTGGTGGTTATAATGGGGAAGGCGCGTTTGGCGGCGAAGATGGTGGCGCTGGCTGGAACAAGCGCGGTGGATTCCGCGGTGGAGGGACGGAGAAGAAGCAGGACGGTGGCGGTAAAAACTGAAGCCGCCTGCGTCGTTATTACACTCTTAAGCCATGCAGAGATGCGATCAGTATACGTCATGGCAGTAATCATAATGCTAATATAGCTAAAGCAGTCTATATATCTATAGACGATGGTGTACTTGTACGGTTGTATGGTGTACTTGTACGGTTGAACCCTATGAATGGTGTATATGATTGTTGCATGTTCTCTCAGTCTCGACCCGATCCGTATCAGGGGTCGATGTGCTGATGCATGTATATATCACTTCGCTTCGTTTTTTTCTCTGCCTGATGCCAATCGCACAATATAATCGACGACTCGACGAGGTTAAGTAAAGGTGCTTAGAGCGGGCGCCTCGAACAGCCTTAAATCGTCTGGACGGGCGGATCGATCACCGTTCGATCTAAAAAATAACCTATCCGAGCACCTCAAATCGGCCTCATAACCTGCAAAGATGTAGGCGGATATGAGGTGACCCCGGGTGCGACCGGATGGGTTTGCCATGTCAGCATAACCCACGGTTGTCCTCATAAAATATTCCAATCTGGAAATTCTAGTTCACTTTACTTCACTTAAGCTCTGTCTCTTCTCCGCCCCTTCTCTAGTTTCTCCTATTTTGATTCAATCTGATGGCTCCGGTGAGCATGCCAAGCTCCGACAGCCACTCCAACGACGACGCCATCGATGTCGACGAGGAACTGGCCCTCCGCATTGCGCTGGAGCAGTCGTGGGTGGACACGAGGGAGGGAGGGGGGCAGCTCCGGATCTGCTTCGTCCCCGCTTGCCCGCTGACGCAGTGCAGACGCCGGAGTGGGCCCCTTCCGGCCGCGCGCAGCTCCTCAAGGGCTGGTCAATCCACGCTGCCCCTTCGTCGTCCACCTCCCCCGTCTGCCACTGCTCCGCAAGGGCAGCGTTAGGTTCTAGTGCCCATTCCGCTGGCTTCGCGGACGCGCGCGTCGCGAGGGGCAGCGGGCAAGGGAGAGGGAGGCGGCGGAGCAATCCGTTTGCCGCCGTCGTGGGTTGCCAACGGTGCTCGACGAGGAGGAGCGGCTCCTTGCTTGGGTCTACCATCGATCACTTACGACAGCGAAGATGGGTGCTCGCCAGCTCCGAAGAAAGAACGCCAAGATGTTCCGGCTAGCCACTGAGCAGTCCGAGCGCGAGGCGGCGGAGACAGCGGCGGATGTGGCGAGGGTGGCCGAGCTGAAGCGACAACAAGATCGGGCCGTCCGGCGGAGGAAGGGCCCCGTCGTCATCTATGATTCCTCCTCCGACGACGACCGAGACTTTAGCACCGACAACGACGACCACGACTTCGGTTCTGGCGATCCACCAGCTGCCGCAAATGCCTACAACTAAATCGGCAACCAGAATGGCAAAGGGTCAGCCAGGAAGTGGTGAAGAAGCTCTGCCTATCCGTTTTATATTTTCGTTTTTAGTTGTTTTACTTTAGAACCTGTATAGCAATGAACTGTGGTAATATTGTAGATGATGTAAAGTGGATTATGTGCATTTCGGTGTTCGTTTGTTGCCGATTTCTATGTGTGTTGTTTGAAAGTTCCTCTGTTTCGTTGATGATCTATGTACACTAGTTTCACGTTGCATGAATAGTATGCATTTAGGGTGCCAGATATAAGGTACGCGGGTAAGAGCAAGAATTTGAGGTTTGACCGGTCATTGTCCGCGGACGCACTCGGGCATGTCCACAAACGTATAGGGCGCCAGATTTGGTAATTTTGACGGTAGATGCTCTTAGCGAGAAATCTTTCAATCTATTCATTTTCAATCATCACAGTACAATGAATACAAAAAATAATAAAAAATTACATCCAGATCCGTACACCACCTCGTGACGAGTACAAGCACTGAAACGAGCCAAAGGCGCGCCGCCGTTATCGCCCATCCCTCGCTGGAGCCGCGCAAAACTTGTTGTAGTAGTCAGTCAAAAAGTCGTCCGGAACAACAACAACTGTTTATGAAGAGATGCATAGATCGGAAGGATCCAACTTAAAGACATAAGAACATAGACAAACGAACACCGGATCCAAGTAGATCCACAAAAGACAACCACCGACCGAAACGCGCAAGATCCTTCGAAGACATATCTCCGCACACTCTCCGACGATGCTAGATGCATCACCGGACGAGGGCTAGGCAGGGAGGACCTGATTCCAACTTCAGAGAGCCGCCACCATCTCCCCTTCCTCAACCGGACACAAATCCTAACAAAACTCAAAAAAAACATCTAAAAACCAAGCCCTCCCATCGGTAATTGTCGGGATCCACCACACCTCATGGCCCTAGGACAACTAGAGACAAGGCAGACCGGCCTGGCACTGGCGGGAGGGTGAAAAACCTTAGGATATTTCCTGGAGGCTGCAGCTAGGTGTGTGTTGATTATGGTTGTTCATGAGGTAATTTCGTGGAATCACGTTTCACGCATTGAGAATCCCAGAGTATTTTTTATGGCGTGTTCAAATCCTCTCCAGCTTTACAAAACTCCACATATTCAACTTCTCCTCGCTTCTAGCTTCAGGTAGCGATCCCAGGAGCGTTCGGCTCCATCGGCAGCTTCTCCCACAACGGCAGCCCAGTCAGGAGGGTTGTGGCCTGTTAGGTGTTGATACGTCTCAAACGTATCTATAGTTATTGATTGTTTTATGCTATTATACTATCATTTCTATGCATGTTTATAACAATTTATATCATTATTTTGACTAACCTATTAATTTAGTGCCTAGTGTCAATTCATGTTTTCCACTTGCTTTTGGTTTCGCAGAAAATCAATATCTATGGAGGTCAAAATACATTGCCGATTTAATATGATTTTTGGGCAACAATGAACAGACGAAGCTTCGGGACACCTTCAGAGGAGCTGCCAGGGGCCCACACGGGGCCCGACGTGGCCAATGGGGGTGGTTGTGCCCCTACGCGTGTGGGCCCCCTGACACTGCCTTGACCTGATTCCTCCGCCATAATTCCCTATAAATACCAATACTATTTGTCGTGCCTTCGGAAGAAATTTATCGCCGCCGCAAGCCACCGTTCCACGGAAAGCCCACCTTGAGGCTTTTTCCAGAGCCCTGCCTAAGGGGGAAGCCATTATCAGAGTTGTCTTCATCAACCTTGCTACCTCCATGACCATGTGTGAGTAGTTCCACATGACATACATGTTAATAATAGTAGCTAGATGGTTCTCTCTCTTTTTGGATGTTCAATACCATATTCTCGTTCTTAATCGAGGTCAATCCGATGTAATTTTGTGTTGTGTTTATTGGGACATGATGAATTGTCACTTTATGACCAGATTACTTATTGATTGAATATATTGAGGTTTTTGTTGCTGCATAATTAAATAGCTTTCTATGCTCTCCGATCTATCTATCTTCTTTGGCCAAGTTTGACGGGTTTATCTTTTTAGGGAGTTGTATTTTGTTGTGGGTTCAATGTTGCGGTGCTCTAACCCATAGACAATAATGGTCAAGACACGTATTATATTATTGCCACTAAGCATAAAATGATGGGGTTTTGTCATATTGATTGACTTCTTCCTTTCTATATTATGCCATCTTACTTATTGCGATACTCTATTTCTTGTAAACTTAGAGAGTTTTTACGGTACATCATACTACCTGAAATAGTGAGTAGTATTTAGTTGATCCAACGGTCAGTATGGATCGGTTATTTTTTTTAGGATATATTGGTAATTCCCTATTAGAGGTAGATTTGTTCTTTAATGATGATAATCTAATTAATTAGATTAATCCCATCCCACCCGACGCCGTGTGCGTGTGTTCATATCAGATGAGCGGGTTCGCGTACGTCTCTCTCGCATCTCCGGCCGGCGGAATCGATTCAGATGTGTAGTGCGTACGTGCTTGTCCTTCGGAAGAATCCATCCAGCAGCCAGGTCGCTGGAGAGGTTAGCTCTCTATGTGCATGCGTGCTAGTTTCTCGAGGATCTCAATCAACCCGCTCTACCTTTGTGTATTTATGTCGCTCTTCGTTCACGCGTTCCTTGATGAGACCTGTGATGTGAGCCGGGGCCTGCGCTATCATTCCGTTCTTCCTCGGCAACGTACTAAGCTTCAGCCTGCACGGCTCATGGTATTCTCTGTTGACATAGAGACGCTTTTTGGCAGGCCGGACATGAATGACGGTAACGAGGAGGAACTGTTTTGTATGAAGGCGTTGGGCCTCATCGAGCTGATGGACGAGTAGACGACAGGGCGAGTCAAGCTCAGTGGTCAAGCTGGAGATTGACGCCAAGCTAGTGTGTGGCCTCGAACCAGGAACTCGCGATGTCACGGCGATATGCTTGAAATCGACTTTGACTACGGCTCACCTCAGGCCACATCACACAAGAACGCGGCAAGCAGCGGTGTTTAGTTCCTCCCGAAGATTGATATAAACAGATAGATAAACAGTGAATTGCCTATAATGCCCCTAATAAATGAATATACTACCGAAAATCTGTTGTAGTATTGGCTCATCTGGGCCTTTCAACCACATAAATGGATGGCCCAAATAAACTAGATGCACCGTAAAAGGTCTCTAAACTTAATACCTTGAGATGATGCTGGATACTGGTTTTTGGTGTGGAGTATTAATAGTAGAGGTAGTTAGATAACGATGTACTTATCATGGATGTAATACCTATATGAGATTGAGCCATAAATAATCATAGTCTTAAATAAAATTCACTCAATTGCCCAATTGTAATTTGTTTACCATTCTACTTATTGTTTTGGAGAGAGATGTCACTAGTGAAAATATGGCCCCTAGACTATTCTCCATTAATAAATTCTTCTACACAATTTGCTCTTTTATTTGCCATACTATTTTACCACTACCTATCTCTATTTGCTTTTAATCTTACTAGGTGGATGCCCGTCCTCTGGGTTGGGCCGTTGATCCCTCCAATCCTGTCACGTGTGGGCCTTGTTCGTCGGATCCAGAACGTTCAAGGAGAAATCGCCTAAATACTTGGCGTGCACCCCAAGATGTAGAAGTATTCC